GCGAGGGCGTAGAAGTAACTCGAGTCCTCTGAGGAAAGCATCGTTGAGCAAGCAGTTATCGAGAGTCCAATGGCCTCCCTGTGCACGTAAGCATAAAGTAGAAAAGGGAAAGAAAATGAAACTTAGACGTGCTTTGACTGTAATCCCAACTTGGTCCAAGAGATGGAGGACAATTCTTGCTAGCCTCTTCCCGTTGTGGCTTCCTCGAAGACGGTGAAATGCGATGAGTGTAGAACGCAGCTGAAGACCCTTGGTAGACTTGTCTCTATGTATCCAATGTGCGGTAATGGCCAGGTATGGGTACCGAGCTTTTGTTGACCAAATATCCGCCGTGTAGGAAATTCGTCCTGGCGCATCCTAGAGTGAACAGTGAATACAAGGAAACAAAGCGGTCAATTGAAACAACATACCGCTAATTCCTGTTTTAGGACCTTGAAATATGCATGCCATGCCTTGATAATGGATTCGCGCATCTTCGTTCGGCGGGGAATGTCTTTGTCCTCGAGGTCCTCACGTAAAAGCAAGAGGAGCTGTCGAAATTCTGGGCATTCAACAACATTTATAGACTGCGAAGAAGGTTAGACTAATACCAAACATTAAAAGTGCTTGACCAACCTGATCGTCTGCAACGATGAAATTCAGAAGATGCTGTATCAATGCCTCTTGGGAAAATGGTGGACGTTGTGTTCCATGGGGCGCCGGGGCTGTTCCAGTTTCGCTCGCGAGTGCAGGGACTTTCCATCTCATTTCGCGACACTTCTGGAGATATGGATCCTTGTGGCGGCTTAGGAGGTGGTTGCGCAATGGACCATTTGAGGTGCTCGCTGAGAAGCTGCCTGCACCCTGGCGCAAGTCTATCCCATTCGCCCTACATAACAATCCTTGTCAGTACAATGTATAAAATTATTGAGGACCACATACCTGCATAGCTTACATAGAGTTCTGCTTACTGGAGGCGCCTTGGATCCGCGTTCAAAGAAAAAATCAATATCTGGGGCTGTTCGGCTCCGTGAGGGTTCTGAGGCTCGCTCAGAAGGCGTGACAGGTCTGGTGGAGGCAGCAGAGCCAGCTACAGGCTCGACGCTCGCGGGAGAGATCGGTCGTTGTACATCTTCATCAGCAGAATGTTCATCCAAAGGAGTGAAGTCGAATTCTTCTCCAGAACCGGGATCGTCACGAAAGTTGACTGGCACTGCTCTACGGCCAGCTGTACGAGGAGGTGCTGGCTGCTGTGTTGGTTTTCTGCCTCTACCTCGGGCCATTACGAAGCTGGGTGATTTACAGAGATAGAGACATTGTTTCGTATTTTATACAGAACCATAGCACCTCACATGCCGTTAGCGCGTGTTTCTATCGTAATTAATGTAACAGT